CCCCAAAACCCCAAAACCCCAAAACCCCTAAAATGTGAAAGGATTGAATTTTAGTGGCTAAATCACAGATAAAAGTTTAGAAGATTTGCATTATTCAGAAATAAAAAATGGAATCCAATTCAGTCTCTTCAGCTAAAATTAGCTATATCCCAATGAGGGTATTAGACAAGCAGTACTACTATACTGATGTGAAAGTCTCCCAACCTCGAAGCGAGGATAATGAGGGAATGAATGATCCCTCTGGTGAAAACGCTTTCTTGATGATCTTAGATAGAAGTGGATCTATGTGTGGAGGCCCATGGAAGGCATTAACTGAAGGAGCTATCCAAGTCGCAACAAGAATTTATGAGCAGAACGAGTTCAAAGAGTTTAGCACTATGTTTTTTAATCATCAAGTTAAGATGATGCCAACTACAGATCTTACAGATTTCTCAAATAAGATTAATCAAGTGAAGGCTATGTCTACAACTAATTTTTCTTCTACTTTTAAAAAGATTCAGGCTTATTGTGAAAACAAGAATTCTCAAGACTTGACTGTTCTCTTCCTGACTGACGGAAACGACACCTGTAACAGCCCAGAAAATGTTGAAACCGAGTTGCAAAACCTTAAGACATATCTTACCACCAAAGAGATCACTAGCAGGTTCTTTACTATTGGTTTATCAAGTGATCATGACTCTGTACTTCTCTCAAAAATAGCTCAGACAGGGTCAGATCTTGGAAACTTCTTCTATGTTGACTATAGTGAGAACAATACTTATAACTATAAGGATTATATCAAGGAATGTCTGATCAAAACTTTTGAGATGGGAAACCCTTCTAAAAGTCTTAGTGCAAATCTTAACCTAGGTGACTCTATTAAAAAGATTAGCTTACTTCCAGCCAGTGAAGAAGAGGAAACATCTGAAATCTTACAATATTCTGTCCAGGTTATATTAGAAGGACTTCCTGAAGGAGAAGTAGAACTCGAGATATTAGGATCAGGAGAATCTCTCATTGTCAGACCAGAAGAAGAGCAAACCCCTGATACTGAAAACTTGCTTAAGACTGAAATTGGCATTACCAACCAAGTTTTCTTTGACTTTATTCAGAAAGTGGTCAACAACAAAAATCTTGATGCAGAGGAAGCGAAAGAAGTCTATGACAAAATCTCTGTTATCAATGATAGAGTCTCTGAGATGATCACAGAAGGATTCAAGATTAAGAACAAAGTAATGAGGAAGAATGTGATCCAGTCATGCCAAACTTTCAAGGATAAGTGCCACACTGTCATCGAAACTCTCAGAGATGTGGTTGTGAATAATAAGACCTTGGACTTATCCAACATCGCTAAGTTAAATGATCTTGCATACAAGGCTATCAGGAGCAAGGGTCTCAAGAGAAAGCTCGATGAAAGAGCAATCAAGAACAAAGAGCATTATAAGGAGCTTGACGATCAGATCAAAAAGAAGGTAGAGAGCTTTGATATTAGTAAGATTACTGAGGAGAATCAAGAGATTATTGACTTTGTTGGAGACTGTCCTCTCACCTGTCTCAATGCATCTGAAGCTCTTGAAGAAGGTGACTGTTTAGGAATCTGTCTAGATATCTCAAGATCAACTGCTACAATTGCTGATCCTAATCAACTTATTGTTAATGATGTCATTCCTACCTTTATGTGTTGTAGTGCTTATCTCGATTCTGCTGCATATAACCTTGAAAGATCATCTACTGCAGCAGGGACATTCAACATCAAGTCTCAAGGTAACTTAGCAACTGGAATTGGAAGAGAAAAGGTTAATGGTATCCTTCCTTTGTATTTGTTCAATGACCACTGGGAAATTTCCAAGAGAACAATTCCATCAGTTTTCGGATTCATGTGTACATTAGATATTATGGGTTATGCTGATGATCAATTTTACACTATTCCTTACACAGTCCTGTACAAGTGCTATGAGAAGTGCTTCGAAAATAATAATGACATCAACCAGAAGATGCTCAAGGTTGTGCTAGACACTTGTGTACAAATCCAGAAGAGACATAAGATCCATACTGAAAGAATCTTGACTGCTCTGAAAGAGTTTGAAAAGGATCCAATTAACAGAGGAAAAGACTGCATCCCAAATTTCAGGGTGTTCCTGGCTCAAATCTTGACAGCTAAAGAAGCCGGAATTATCTCTGACATCAATGAATACGATTGGAGCAAGATCATTAGATTCCTAATAGAAGAAGAATGCAGAAGGAATGTTCCAAAGGATACTGAGCCTCTTACAATGAGACAACAGAATAACTTCCTCAATAATTCTAAAACCAAGGAGATCGTTGCTAAGGCTATGGAGATTAAGAATTTGTCTGAGGACGCTAAACTCTCTCAGGAAGAGATCATGAAGATTATTAGCAAGGATCCTGAAGAGGAGAAGAAAGGATCAAAGGATGAAGAAATCAAGGAACTTATTGACTCTGAAGTCGGATTAAAGCCATGGAATTCCCAGCTAGAAAGCCCTGAACACACTAATACTAAGATGGTGTCAAAGTTTAACAAGTGTATCAACAAGAAACTCTCATGGATGAAGCCATTTATTCACTTCTTGGGCCATTCTGAGTTGCCAGTTCCCGAATCATTAGACCAGTATCCAATGTTTAAAGAGCCTGTCGTTGTGTTAGCAATGGTTTTCCAGAATCATATGCACCCTTCAAACAAAGCCAGAAGAGAAGCTATTGACAATAAGACTTACAAGGAAATATTAACAAAAGAAGATGCAGAGTCTTACTTCACTGAGTTGTACAAGAAGAATCTTGAGCTTGAAATTTCGGGAGAGGAGACAAGAATCTTAATGATATTGAATAACCAATTTTCCTCAAATGTTGGAGAAATGTCCTTGATTGTACAGAACATGAAGAGCTTTGCTGGACTTATCGAAAACCTCAAGGTTGGAGACGGAGGTGTCAAGAATTTACTCTCAGCAATGACAAAGAATACCAGTCTATCAATTTATGAAAAACTGAAGATCATCACTACAAGAAACTATGAAGGAAAGACTATGTTTGCTGATAAGTACAAGGTTGACCCTGGATACTACAAGATGAGATCACCAATAATGTACAGGCTATACATTATCTATGTCCATAAGACAAAGCAGATGACTCCTGAGCAGTTCCAAGATATTTTTCCAATGGTAAGCACTGAAAGACATCAAAAGTGGATCAACAACTATGAAAAACATCCTGACACTGTGAGTATTTAAATTTTCACCAAACATCTCTCATTAAAGCTTTAAATGTTCGACTTTGCTCATTATAATCACAGATCTAGTAAATTCAATCAAGTTATTTGAGAGTGGGGTTTTGGGGTTTTGGGGTTTTGGGG